TGCTGGCTCATATTCAGTCAGCTGTCGACCAACACACTCAGATCCTTCTCCTCTGGACGGCTCTCCAGCCACTCCTTGTCAAGCCCGTAGTGCTGCATGGGGTTGCATTGCATTGTGACCCAAGTGCAGGACCCAGCACTTGGACTTGTTGAACCTCATGCAATTGGCTTCAGCCCATTGATCCAGCCTGTCCAGGTCCCTCTGCAGAGCCTTCCTACCCTCGGGCAGATCAACACTCCCACCCAACTTAGTGTCATCTGCAAACTTACTGAGGGTGCACTCAATTCCCTTGCCCATGTCGTTGATAAAGATGTTTAACAGAAGTGGTCCCAGTACTGAGCCCTGGGGAACACCACTTGTGATTTAACTCCATTCACCACAACTCTTTGACTCTGTCCATCCAGCCAGTGTTTTACCCAGTGAAGCGTATGTCCATACAAGTCATTTGGAGCCAGCTTTTCCAGGAGGATGCTGTGAGAGATGGTGTCAAAGGCTTTATTGAAGTCCAGGTAGACAATGTCCACAGCCTTTCCCTCATCCACTAAACAGGTCACCTTGTCATAGAAGGAGATCAGGTTAGTCAAGCAGGACCTGCCCTTCCTGAACCCATGCTGACTGGGCCTGGTCTCTTGGTTGTCCTGCACGTGCTGTGTGATGGCACTCAGGATGATTTGTTCCATAACCTTCCCTGGCACCAAGGCCAGACTGACAGGTCTGTAGTTCCCCAGGTTCTCCCTCTGACCCTTCTTGTAGATGGGTGTCACATTTGCAAGCCTCCAGTCAACTGGGACCTCCCTGGTTAGCCAGGGCTGCTGATAAATGATGAAAAGTGGCTTGGTGAGCTCTTCTGCCAGCTCCCTTAGGACCCTGGGGTGGATCCCATCTGGCCCCATAGACTTGTGTATATCTAAGTGGTGTAGCAGGTCGCTAACCACCTCTTCATGGATTATAGGGGCTTCACTGTGTTTCCCATCCCTGTCTTGACACTCACGGGGCTGGTTACCCAGTGTACTCCTGATTTTCCTACTAAAGACTGAGGCAAAGAAAGCATTAAGTACCTCAGCCTTTTCCTCATCCCTAGTCACTATGTTTCCCCCCACAACTACTGAAGGGTGGAGACTCTCCTTAGTCCTCCTTTTGTTGCTAATGTATTTATAAACATTTTTTATTGTCTGTAACAGCACTAGCCAGATTAAGTTCTAGCTGTGCTTTGGCCCTTCTAATTTTCTCCCTGCACAGCCTCATGGTAGCCTTGTAGTCCTCCTGAGTTACCTGCCCCTTCTTCCAAAGACCATAAACTCTCCTCTTTTTTCTGAGCTCGAGACAGAGCTCTCTGTTCAACCAGGCTGGTCTTCTTCCCCGGCAGCTCATTTTCCAACACACAGGGAGAGCCTGTTCCTGTGCCTTTAAGAGTTCCTTCTTGAAGAGTGTCCACCCTTCCTGGACTCCTTTTCCCTTCCAGGACTGCTTCCTGTATTGCATATGACAGACACAAAACAGTATCACAGTATATTTTAGTGTGCTGGAGAAAGGGAAAAGAGAGAGTCGTGGTTTTTTAGAGCTGGTCATTAAAAACTGGCAAAACATTTATCTTTTGGGAATTGCCAGTTCATAGAATTTCAGCGTATTAGGACAGATAAGTCTGAGCTCTCCATCCTGTTCTACCAGTTCAGCTTCTCTTTATTCCATTTAGCCCGATTTATCCATTAATGCCACAGCTTTTATTTACCAGGGCAGCCCCATTTCCATACATTTTTTTTTGGAAAAACAGCACTTTTTTCAGGTGTAGCACTTTTTTTCTTAATGGAGTGAATGTGTATTGAAGGATAAAATTGCTGAAGATTCAGAATAAAGTATGAAAATAGCCTTGATTTTAAGTTGATAAGTTGATTTACACACAATGCCAATGATTGTCTTCAAAATTGTATTCAGGTCATTAACTGAGTTAAATTAAAGTTACATTGTCTCATTTTAAAAATTTGCTTTCTAAACTGGGTGGAAATGTGGTGGTTTTTTTTTTAATTCTGAATATAGCTTTGGATCTAAAATAAAAGCTGTTGCCTTTCAGCTGTCAATGGTTTATTCTTTTTGCTGTATCTGTAAATGTCTTTTTAAGCATTTTACAGGCTAATGCAACATTGTTTCTTAACAGTATTGATGAGTGTACTTACATAAACTCTTTTTGTTGTGATTTACAGACTGAAGAATTTGCCATTTACCTTTACAAAACTGCAGCAGCTCACTGCTATGTGGCTATCAGACAATCAGGTCAAGTTTTTAAAAATTAATTATGTTGACTTTATTCCTTTTAGTACTGACAAATACAGAGCCATCTCTTAAATAATGAGACATGATACCGTGTATATGCATCAGGTACTTTCTTGACATTATTACTGTGTCAGTTCTCCTAAAACAAACAACGCTGTGCCTACCTGACTTTGGAGACACTCAAATTTCTGGCAATGTTTTGTGCCATTAGGAAATGCAATTTAACAAATGTTGGTTTTTTTTGTTTTTGTTTTTTCTTAATTCAAGCTTGTATACACAGGAAACGTGATTCTTGATAAGCTAGTACTTGAATGTGTAGTACACTGTTTCTTCCACAGATATACCATTGGAGAAACAGTGTCCTGCCTTTTTTTTTTTTTTTGTGCTGGGTTTCTTGTCCCACCTTTGAACTCTGTGACTATCCAAGTTTCAAGCTATTGAGAAGCAATTCATGCAATTGTGGCTTGTATTTTTCCTGTGTGTTGAAGCCCTCTGTACTATGCTGATTTCCTGAAAGGCATTAAGGTGTACAGGGCTGCCAGAAATCCTCTAGCCTCAGGTGTAGTATAATAAAAGTACTTTTACTTATATAATAATTTCAAGAATCTCCTGCCCTTTTTTGCAAGGGGTGGGGGATATTCAATCTGGTATGAATATAAAAAATTGAGTACAAAATTTTTCTCTATATATGATTGTCCACAGCTTTAAATGGATAAATATATCTGACAGTAATAAGTCCTAGCAAGAAACTGGGTTACTCTTAGAATATCCAGTGTTTTGTGCTTCTCTTAAAGCTGTTACCAAGTTTCAGTTCTTGGTCAAAGACAGTCATCAAAGACAGACATGTTAATAACTTCATTTTGTGAAAATTATTCAGAGAAGAAATGGTTTAATATAAGGCAAGATCAATCTGCATAGTAATGGGACAGATATGCTCTATGATATGCTGTTGTGGTTTAGGGCTGGGCCAGTCACTAAATCCTGGACAGACGCTCTCTATTAACCCCTCTCCCCTCCCCAGAAGGGAAGAGAAAAGAGAAATAAGAGAGAGACTTTATGGGTTGGAAAATAAAACTAACAGGTTTAATAAAAAAATAATACTAATACTACAGGATAATAATGTAAATAGGAAAATAATGAAATATATACAAATATCTACAAATATATACAAAACCAATATAAAACCCTCCCCCCACCCTCCCCCCAATAATGTATACGTCACCAGAGGCTCTGCGGAGCAGGGCACTAGAAAAATCCCAGATCGAACTCAGCAGCAGGTGGGAGCAGGATTCAGGAACACACAAATCAGGATCAGAGGCAGACGAACGAGCAGGATTCTGCTCAGACTTCAGCCATTGCATGATCGAGACGGATGGAAGGGTCCAAGATGGAAGGGCTCCAAGATGGAAGGGCTCCAAGATGGAAGGAGGGTTGAGACCCTTGTGATCCCTCGGCTTTATACCGACTATGACGTATGTGGGATGGAATACCTAGTTGGTCAACTTTGGGTCCGCTTCTCCCCCCCCCATAGCTGCAGACACGGCACCCATGGTGAGACACTTGTCCTTGAGCTTATCAGTACACAGTCTGAGGAAAACATACTGCTAGTTTTCAGCAAGTTCAGCCACTTAAAAGAGACTGAGCTGAAAAGTAAAATCACTAAATAGAAAATTAGTTCTATTTAGCTCAGACCAGGACATATGTAGATCATGTTTAATTTTTTTCATATATGGTCTCTTAACATACCCTTCTTTCATTTGCTTCTTAGTCTAAACCACTTATACCTCTTCAAAGAGAAGCTGACCCTGACACACAGAAGACGGTGCTTACTAATTACATGTTTCCTCAGCAACCAAGGACCGAGGATGGTAAGAATTTCTAAAATACCTTGTCAGAATGCTAGCTTTTGAAAATAATAATGGGAAGACAATCCAGTTAACATAATTTTCATGAGATATTACTCACAAGTTTGAAGTAAACTTGTAAGTGATGAAGATTTACATCTGAAGAAGGAGTACAGTAACTTAAAAATGTGATCCGCATAGTAGTAAATTCTAGGTGAAACTGTTCCAGTTGTAAGTGTACATGTATGGGGAGTGAGGTGAGGAATGGAGTGGTGGGATCGTGTTCTTTGATGGTTGCCACTTACCAGCGTGACACCCTGTTTCATTTTTGCAGAGCTTAATTGTTTGGGTAGAAATTCTCCTTGCCAGGTGTCTGCTTCAGACCAACTATTTTAATAAAATGTTAGACAAAATGTTTCATCCGTTACTGAGTATGTATTTTTTTAAAGTATATAGCATTCTGTATTTTATTTTAAAAGAAGAAAAAAAGTCAGTCCAGAAAAAAAATGCATTTTACTCACATTTAGTTCAAACTTGTTTTATAAAAGGTTTGGCCCAGAACATTAAGAAAGGTATTTCTGCACACTTGTGAAATATTTAGGAAAATTAGTCACATTCCATGAGTAACCCTATGAGGAGTTGGAGAAAGAGAGTAAAGTCTCTATATTTGTCCACTTTCCTTCCCCTGCAGGCAACAGGAAAAAGCTTGTGCTTCTTTAACAGAAATAGTAGGGGAGGTATCAATAGGAATAATTGAAAATTGACAAGTAACATTTTCTGTTACAGGGCACAAATGTCTAGTACACTGAGTAATCAAAAATATCTGCAAAAACAGTAAACTGTACATCACTTTTAGCACCTTCTAATGCAGATAATGAATGTGCAATACCTCTGATAGAATGTGAGAATTATAAAATCATTTGGAGATTATCAGTGAAGATGAAGATAGTTCCTGAAAGCGTTCTCTCCATTTGCACTTTATTTTACCCCAAAGGCGAGGTTTCTTTCTGTAGGTGAGGAAAGGGCTGCTTGTTTGTCTTAAGTTGACTGAATACTTCCCTGTAAAGCAGTCATTCCAAATAGAAGGTTTAAAGTTTAATAGATAAACTTTTTAAAATGTAAAATTCCTAAAATTCTTTAGTAAGGGTTTGTTGGGGTTTTTTTTGTGCCAGGAACTGTTTCAGTGATAATGAAGTTTATTAGAATATTTTTCAGATGTGTTAAAATTGTAAGTTTACCCAATAAATGCAACATAACATATATATTCCATTGCACTTGGTAAGCCCCATAATTAAGCATTTTTCTATTTCAGATATAGTTAATATGAACAATCTTGGCATTGCTAGTGAAGTAAACAGGTTTGCTGGGGTGGTGGTGACAGTTTTATTAGACATATTTAGCATTTATTTGGCATGCTAAAGTAGAACCTGGCTATTGTAACACAAGGGGATGGCCCACATGGCACCAGGCTTACTTCAAAGAGGGAAGAGGATCTTTGCTCAGGAGCCTGTGGGGCTCTTTTACAGGGCTTTAGATTTGAAGGGGGAAGGGGATAATATCAGGCTTCCCTGTGACAAGCTGTGGGATGACAGGCCAAGGTTAGAGGGTCGGGGTGCTAGCGAGGGCCCTCAGCCTGTCGGTCTGAGATGTGCTGGATACACTGCAGCACGCTTGAAGGCTTACACAGATGAGCCAGGTGCTCCTGAGGTAATAGAGCCAACAGGGAAACACAGGTGAAATACCTCAAAGGAATTCCAGCCACTCCAGCCAGTAAGTCATCTTCATGGAGCACAACTTAAATGCCTCTATGCAAACGCACGTATGGGGGAATAAACAAGGGGAGTTGGAGACATGTGCATGCCTGCAGGGCTATGATCTTATTGGCATCACAGAGATGTGGTGGGATGGTTCCTATGACTGGAGTGTCGGAATGGAAGAATACAGGCTCCATTAGGAAGGACAGGCAGGGGGGACAAGGAGGAGGTGTTGCCCTCTGTGTCAGTGACCAGCTGGAGTGCATGGAGCTCTGCCTGGGGATGGATGAGGAGTTGACAGAGAGCTTATGGGTCAGGGTTAAAGGGAGGGCAGGGACAGGGGACATTATAGAGGGGGTCTGCTACAGGCCACCCAACCAGGAAGACAGAGCAGATGAGGCCCTTTGAAGAGAGATAGGAGTAGCCTCACGTACACAAGCCCTGGTCCTCATAGGGGACTTTAACCACCCTAATATATGTTAGAAAGAGAACACAGCAGGGCATAAGAAACCCAGGAGGTTCCTGAAATGCACTGATGACAACTTCCTTTTCCAAGTGATAGAAGAACCAACAAGGAGAGGTGCTATGCTGAACCTTGTTCTCACTAACAAGGAGGGGCTAGCAGGGAATGTGAAGCTCAAGGGCAGCTTTTCCTGCAGTGACCATGAAACGGTGGAGTTCAAAATCCTTAGGGCAGTGAGGGGGGCACAAAGCAAGCTTGCTACCCTGGACTTCAGGAGAACTGACTTTGGCCTCTTCAGGGATCTGCTTGGTAGAGTACCATGGGATAAAGCCCTAGAGGGAAGAAAGGCCAAGAAAGCTGGTTAGTCAGGCAAAAGTGTCAAGAGGCCTGCATGGATGAACAAGGAGCTCCTGGTCAAACTCAAACACAAAAAGGAAGCCTACAGAGGGTGGAATCGAGGACAGGTAGCCTGGGAGGAATACAGAGAAGTTGTCTGAGCATCCAGGGATCAGGTTAAGAAAGCTAAAGCCCTGATAGAATTAAATCTGGCCAGGGACATTAAGGGCAACAAGAAAAGCTTCTATAGGTATGTCAGTGGTAAAAGAAAGACTAGGAAAACTGTGGCCCCCTCTGGAACGAAACAGGAGACCTGGTTACCTGGGATATGGAGAAGGCTGAGGTACTCAATGACTTTTTTGCTTCAGTCTTCACTGGCAAGTGCTCAAGCCACACGGCCCAAATTGCAGAAGGCAAAGGCAGGGACTGGGAGAAGGAAGATCTGCCCACTGCAGGGGAAGATCAGGTTCGAGACCATCTAAAGAACCTGAAGGTGCACAAGTCTGTGGGACCTGATGAGATGCATCTGTGGGTCCTGAGGGAACTGGTGGATGAAATTGTTAAGCCAATGTCCATCATATTTGAGAAGTCATAGCACTTTGGTGAAATTCCCACTGAATAGAAAAAGGGAAATATAACCTCCATTTTAAGAAAGAAAAAAAAAAAGGAAGGCCTGGGAAATTACAAGCCAGTCAGTCTCACTTCTGTGTTCAGCAAGATGATGGAGTAGATCCTCCTGGATACTATGCTAAGGCACATGGAAAACAAGAAGGTGATTGATGACAGCCAACAGGGATTCACTAAGGGCAAATAATTGAGTGGCCTTCTACGATGGGGTTACAGCGTTGGTGGATAAGGGAAGAACAACTGACATAATCTACTTGGACTTGTGCAAAACATTTGACACTGTCCCACATGACATCCTCGTCTCTAAATTATAGAGGCATGGACTTGGCAGATGGACCACTCAGTGTATAAGGAATTGGCTGGATGGTCGCTCTCAAAATGTTATGGTCAACAGCTTGATTTCCAAGTGGAGACTAATAACAACTGGTGTTCCTCAGGGGTCGGTATTGGGACCAGCATTGTTTAACATCTTTGTTGATGACATGGACAGTGGGCTACAGTGCACCCTCAGCAAGTTTGCTGACACCAAGCTGTGTGGTGCAGTTGACACACTGGAAGGAAGGGATGCCATCCAGAGGGACCTGGACAGGCTGGAGAAGTGGGCCCATGCCAACCTCATGAAGTTCAATAAGACCAAGGGCAAGGTCCGGCACCTGGGTAGGGGCAATCCCAAGCACAAATACAGGCTGGGTGGAGAATGGCTTG